CGATCGGAGTTGGAAGATAGTATTAGATTTAATCGGTTATAATTTCAACGGTAATTGTTTCAACCGTTGTTGAGAATAATTCCTCGTATCGCGTGGCTAAGATTGAGAAACGAATGGATCCCCCAAGGGAATCCATTAAAACCGCGACCGTTCGTGAGGCGAATTGCTCCTCGATAAATCGATCCATTGTACGTCCATCGGTAATGGTCACTCCTCGAACATGACAGAGATTCTGCGTTTCGTTCAATCTTCAAACGAACCAATGACTCATCGAACGAATATCAAAATTCAAATTCCATGCTCCAACTTTCCCGTTTCCTTCTTTCCTTATTACGTATAATTAAATTTTAATCCACGAAAATAACATGACTCATTCGTTCTGTTATCGTGTCGAATTAATTCGCACGCATTTTAGAAATTTCCTCCAATCCTGATTTTTGCGAAAGGGAAAACAAATCATCGAGTTGCTTGCTAATTGAAGAAAAGATTCCGAGTCGAACTCGCGTTGCAAGCAAATTCTGGTTTGTTAATTCTTTTCACCGTGTAAAAAATTTCTCTGCGTATGAATAAATTAAATTAAATTAAATTATAAATACGAAAAATTGCATTTTAAATGCATTTTTATATAATTATAAGAAACACGTAACATCGTTTTCGCAAAAAAAAAAAAAATCCCTCCTCTGAAGAATCATTATTTCGTAACCAAGCGACGCGTAATGAAAAAAAAAAAAAAAAAAAGAAAACAAACACAACAGCCAAACGTATTAATCCAACGTATTACAGGGCAAACGGTATTGGACGAGCGAGCGTAAAATCAATCAATGCCGTTTGAAACGTTGAGGCGCACGAGATGGAACGGGCACAATTTCCAATCCATTAGAATCAATTTTCTTAACGGATTTCCAGGATCGCACGGAACGCACGCGTGACGTACCCGCGGCTCTCGATGTCGCTCGTTTCACCGGTGATTGCGATTCCTCGGCCTACACGTCACGAATAGTTCGCAACAAATCGCTCGACACGAGCACGAACGATCCAACCTAGATAACACGGCATCCATTGAACCGGGAGGAAACGATCGAGTTGCCAGGACAAAAGTCGCCCACGATTTCTACTACTTTTGCTTTTTTTTTTTTTTTCTTCCTCGTCCTTCCGCTCGTTTCCCATTTCCGGTGGAGAGCGCCGCGCTTTCTTCGAGATCGTTGATTTTTCTTCTTTTTTTTTATTCGATCTCGTAGAAGGGGGGATTTTTTTCTTTCAGAATCGATTACATTTTCTTCGCCCCCAAATAAAAGTTTTTGCATAAAATTATGATTTCACAAAGATAGGTGAAATTACGTTTAGAAATGTTCTTTTAATTTTTCTCCCTCTCTTGTCTGATTTATTACTGAAGAAATCTCGAGTTATTAGAACTACGAATTATTCTAATTTCGAAGATTTAACGATTAAATAATCCTGAAAAAATTTATATTTATAAGTAAAAAATTAAAATTCGCTCAAGAAATTTATATCATAACGATATCAGAAATCGAATCCTTGTCGTGATGATGATTTTCATTCTTCGACAGATCTCCAATCTCCGATCGTTCCGTTCGTTTTTCTAAATTAAATCTTCTTCCCGCGATTTCATTCATTAGACCGGTTTCCAACGAAGGAGGATCGATCGATGCTCTTCCAACGCTCGTCGAGAGCGCCGACTCGTTTCATTCAAGGAACGAGACGTGCGTTTTCTCGTTTGAACCGTTAAGGACGCGAGATTATAGCTCGAGATGGAAGCGGGCGAGACGCGGCAAGAGGAAGAAGAGGACGGAGTACGAAAGAACGAAGAGAAAAAAGTCTGATGTCTGGAGAGACTTGGATCGAGGGACAATGAGCAGGAAAGATTCGAGAGGCAGATTGCAACTTTGATGTATCTCCATTTTGGTGGAATTTTAGCGGGAATTCAGGATCGTGAGCACGCGTCTCGAGGTAGCAGTGAACGTTGTAAAATGTAGGTGAACAACTTGTTCGACCAGTCCGCGATAAACTGTTATATGCACTGGCACTATGCCATCCTGAAAACCTATTTCTAATGGCAATGCCAACGACTGGATACTGGAGAAAAGAGAGAAAATGGAGGAAAAAGTTGTAGGCGAATGTCTTACAAATCGTCTGTTCGAAATGATGGATAATTAGTTGAGATCGTTGAGTATCGTTTTCTTGCATTCTTTCCTCGATTTGTATTAGTTGATGTCGTGTAAATGTACATATCATTGGCTATTAACAAAAAAAAAAAAGAAAAAAGAAAAACTAATTTCCGGTCTATCTGGTCAAGCGTGTAAAAGATTTTGTCGAGTGAACTCTTTAAACGATTCGAGGCGATCTCGAGACATTTAATTTTTTGTTTATTCATTTCAAGTGACAGTGCTTTCGAAAAAGAAATTTGCAAAACGATAGTTTTTGTTATCTCGTGAAATGTTGAAATTGATTGATAAAGTATCAAATTCTTAAAAAATTATTATTATACACGACGAGAGAAGTTACTACATTTTACGAAAATAAGAAAAAAAGAAATTATCGAAACAAAATTTGTGGAAATAATTTCGTTGGTATTTCGGGAGAAATAATTTTTATATCGAGATCAAATATACAATTATATAGGATAAAACAATTATGATGATCCTATATTTCATTACATATTTAAGTACACGGTTGATTAACGACAAGAGAAACCGTATGAAATGTTAGGTTCTTAGTCTGTTAGACTTTCGATTATAAGGAAATAACCTGATTTCACGTTGCCGGATTGAATAACGAAAGGCCATATCGTAGTACTACATGCTACATCGTAATCATTCCGTAATTCCTGAATTTGGTACGTAGCAAATGGTCAAATACCTTGGGAGAAAATCTCTCGCTTGGTTAATGAATTCACCTGGAAAGTTTAATTCACCGCGAACAATCGGTCGTTGTATGCAAATATCGAACATGTACACCGAACTCACGAAAACAAATCCCGATGAAATTCGTAAAATTACATTTCGAATTACATTCTCCCCTTGTCTTTCTATTATGCAACGACTTCTCAATATTTCAATAACAAACGCATCCGCAGGAAAAATGTCTCTCTCTCTCTCTCTCTCTCTCTCTCTCTCTCTCTCTCTCTCACGCGTCAAATTTATCCGTACACTTACGATCGAAACGAGAAAATTGAATTTCGTATAATTCCAAAGATAAAGAAATCATCTCGACGGATATCTACTTGATAAAAATCACGAGTCCAAGTATACTTTGGCACGCGAAGCGATGATCATCGCGTGTTAAAAACGTCTCGCCACTCGTCATTCCGTCAGGATAAAATGAATTATCGAGTATAAGTATAATTATCCACGAATTTTTCGTAAAACGTGATCAAATTTTGATAAATAATATTCATCCAATATATCGTGTGACACGCAATTTCTTCTTGACCAATCAATCAAGACGTCCTCCGAATTTTTGTCAAACGATGCTCGTAAATACGATTTCCAGGCTTCGTTTAACCAATCAAACGTCACTAATGGAGATAGGTGGCGTTGTTTCGCGAAATACGTGGAAATAATTGCCACATGTATACCGATTAGTCGCGCTTGCCATAATTACAGCAATTGCTCCTATATAGGCGGAGATCGTGTTCGACTCGGTTAGGTTAGCCTCCGTTTCCCTCGTTTAAAAGTTCGTCAGCTGACTGGTGGCGCGCGCGCCCGACTAACCGGTCGAATGGCCTGGCCGATCGAGTTTACGGCCGTAATCGAAAGTTTTCACAGTTGACGGCCACCAATGGAGATTGCGGAAAATCAAGTGGAAACAGGTCGAAGGCATCGCAAAAGGCGCAAGGATCGGCGGTGAACACGTTTATCCGATTGAACGAACCACGAACAATCTCAAATGGCTTAATCCCTTTGGTGACGACCCAGTTTGGCGAGAGCCAATATGCGCGCGCGTGTGTATGTGTGTGTGTGTGTGTGTGTGTTTACTCTCTGCGGTTTGCTCTCGATGCAATTATCGGTGATAAAAGATTCCATTTGTGGTTTTCGATCATTGATCAATTTTCTTCTTCTTCTTCTTCTTCTTCTTCTTTCTGTACCTTTTGCCTGGATGCGTGCATTCCATGTGCGCTGCCGTGATTCGAAATCCACGTGAATCGTGGAAAGATCGTGCATAATCCACTCGTTCATGATATTCGCGTATACGAAATAAACAAATGGCATCCCATTCGTTCAAACGAAGAAAAATCGAAACGAACATACGTGGTTCGTCGAGTGAAATTGGACAAGAGCATCGTCTTTTCTATTTCGACTATACATTTACGAAAGTTTGCGGAGGAAGATGTCTTCGTGTCAAGACACGATCGTCCCAATGAGTCGTAAACACATCACCACGATTTTCTTCACATAATTTTTCCCGGACAATAATTTCTCGCTACACAATCGATCTTGTATCATCACTTCACTCGCGGCCACCTGTCCAGGTCGACGCGCGAAAATCCACGTACTGAAACAACGTTCGAGGAGAAGAAGGAAAAACAGAGTTTGCGAGAGGAGAGGAAGAAACGCAGGAAGAACATTACTGTAACTGGGGGAGAGGAAGAGAGGAAGGGAGGAGAGGGAGGCTAACTGGATGGCCGAGAGAAACAAAGGAAAGAAGAAGAAAAGGAAAAAGAAGAGAAAAACGGAGCGAAAAGAGGAAGCAGCGGGAGGAAGAAGGTCGAAGACCGCGAATCCCCCCAAGGACGAGGAGGATACGAGACGCGACAACGAGTGAGAAAAGGATAGGTGATGGTCGTCGAAGCGCGGGAGAATAAGGAGGAAGGAAGAAGCGGGACCTCCAAGTTAGATGGTACGCAACGATAGAGAGAGAGAGAGAGAGAGAGGAGAAAGAGGAGAGAAGGATGCATCAACGTGCACAACAACAACAACAACAACGTTAACGACACCGGGAAGAGAACAGAAGAGAGCAGAAGAAGAAGAAAAATGACTCACCGCTCTTCCTGCCTGACAGCTGCGTGACGCGTATGGCGATCGTGATCCTCGCGCATTCGAAGAGTATCGTCGCGAGGACGAGCGTGGCGATGCGGCAGCCGGCCAAGTGCGATCTCATGCTGTTTGGCGGGAAGTTTCTCCGTGGTTGGAACTAGATCTCCGACTTGTGGCAGAGACTTGCTGAGGCAATGGCTCAGCGCCGACTGAGACGTTCTTTGTGGTCGCCGCGCTCTATCTCGACCGTCACTTCTCTCTCTCGTCGCCGTTTCACACCGGCGATAGCCCCCAGGGGAAGCGAAAAACTAACCACCAACTAACTGATCGGGCTGCGAGCGACGACTGGGAGGGCCTTTTGCTTTGTTGTTTAATAACAACGCCGGGGCCCGGCGCGAGGTCACGGAATTCCCGGTTCCCGAATTCGATCGTTCCCGGCGCGGAGGCGCGCGTGTGTGCGTCGCTCTTAATCCTTTAAACCCGTAGTCCACTGTGTGCTGTTGTACATCTATTTAAAACCTATCGCTCCACCTCGCGCTCCTTACTATTGGCTCCTGCCCCAATTCCTTGTCCAATGATACACTCTCGCGCGCATTCACCTCCTTTTCAGATCGACGACGTGCAACCGAGGGGGCCGGAGAGGTGGCTATCGGCCGGCAAGGTGGGTAGGTGGTAGCGATATCGGGTAGGTGGTAATACCTCCGGATGTTTGCAAGGCGCCGCGCTAATAATCATCAAGGCATAAAGGTATGGAAAAAGCGACGTTCGAGTCCCCCCGCTCCCCTCCCCTTCCCTCCCCTCCTTCCCTCCCTCTCCTCGCGACGGCTCCCGGCTCCTTCCTCCGATGAAGGTGAAGGGGTTTTAGGTGGGGTTCTTGGAGCCGTTAACGTCGTTGCCTGGCCGCCCTTCTACGTGCCCGTTTCCAACCGTCTAAGAGCCCGTCTGACTTCTTCGCACGGTGGTAGGTGCACGTGGAGGGGCGCCTCGCGTGTCTACGCTCTAACCGCGTTTTCGTTCTTCTATCTATCAGAAGTTTCATCGCGTGGACGCTCGATACATACAGTCGGGTCGACTGGCCTATCCTTTTGCTTCTCTCCATTGCGTATCAGAAACGAACAGATTTACGAGTTTTCCTTTGAAACCATCTCTTTGGACGGAGATCGATCGACGCCGAAATCTGATCGTCTTCGATCTTTTTATTCTATAAAGAAGTTAACACGCAACATGTTCGGAATGAAATTCATAGAAAGACAAGATTGGACAAGTCTTGTCTACGATTATGGGTTTCCATTTCGATGTACCTGATAAATATCGGTGGATTATTGGCTATAGATGCTATTTATTGATCGATGAAAAATCTGTAGTGAATGGCTTGTTTAATTTAACGTGTCTAGCCTTGATTTCGAAAGCGGTCGAATAACGCGACGGTTGCCGAGATTTATTCAAATGGTACGCATATTTATCGGCATGTTCCCGGATCGGGTAAAAATATCGGTGGCTGCCTCGCCACCGATCTTCGATTTCTCCTTTCTATTTTGTTTTTGTCTATCGTCAAAAATCCGCATCAATCCGGTTGTTAATTTTTTTCGAATATCATCGAAAATGTCGATCGCCTTCAATCTGCGAAAAGACATTTGTACATCGCCATTTGTAAATCTGGCGCGATGTTGAATGTCACGATAACGTTCGATCAATAAGAACGATTTACAAAATTGTTGTAAACGGTTTGATTGATTTGTTTAACAAAAATAGACAAAATAACTTGGATCCATTGGTCAATTGATCGATGATAATTGAAGATGTTAATTCTTTTTTCAATCGTCGTATAAATTAATTAAATTTAAATCCGAATAAGATGCGTAACGTAACGCGTTTTCAAATATCAAACTAAATATTTTTAATAATAATGATGAATAAACAGGGAGCAGACTTAACTTGTTGAGTCTAATTACTCAAAGTATCAAAGTTATATCGAAACTAATTCAATTAATATCACTGTATTTAGATAATACCTTTTATTATTTTACTTTTATTATTTTATTATTATTATTATTTTATTATTTTATTATTATTTTTTCCTGTATTCCGTCATCGAGTTGGTTTAAACTAGTTTCACGCCGTGCTATTTAATCATTCGTTACCGTAAAGAGCGGACACGCGCCACCTGTTATAGAATAACTATCACGGCGAAAGCTCGTAAAAGCGATTATATCGAAGGTTTGAGCGTATCGAAAGGATCCGTTACGTCAGGAAACCTCGTCTGTTCGTCCTGGATTCGTGCTAGGCCGCCTTCCGGTTGCCCACGAAGAAGAAAAAAGAGAGAGAGAGAGAAAGATGGTGATCGTAATTATCGAATGATGCATGGAGGAAGTGACATTTTGTGTCTTCTGACGAAATCTAATCGATTCAAAACCTGTTTCACCCGATCGAGAATCGATTCCGTGAAATTATTGGCCTAGCTTCAACCGGTGGCAAACGAAAACCACCACGTTGGAAGACGTTATTATTATTATATATTTCCATGTTAATCGCGTACCGATCTATACACGTGCCGCGTAATTTATTTCACTTTTTAATCTGATCATTTCATACGCGTGTTTCGTACGTGCCAAAAGTTTTTCGTTTTTTTGAAAATTTCTTCGACGAAGTAAAAGTAAAAGTATTATTTTCAACGCGTAAATCACAGGGTACCATCGAAAGTGATTTGTATCATTCGATATATCCTTATTGAATATTCATAAACTATATACACTTTTACAAAAGAACAAGAGGAAGTTTATCCGAGCATTTTCGATTCTTCTTCCAGGATGCTATTAAACAGTGTTTCTCAACCGAATAATATATCCCAAACAATCTATTATCCATTCTTCTTGTAAAATGAATTTTTCATATAATTATTAAACGTGAATAATTTCTATATGAACATGTCAAAATAAATATCGAAAATTTTCATTATAAAAATTTCCATATAATTAATTAAATCGATCACGAATCGTTAGACCGATCTTTACCTAAAAAATATTTTCAAATTATTATAAACATTCAAAATTCTCATAAAAAAAATGTTTCTATATAAATTCCAAAAAGCAAAACTAACTACCACAACTTCTCCGAAACTTCTCCAAGTGAGTTGAGGATCCAAGGCACGAAGTAACGAAACGTTTCTAGGAAACGTTTCGAAGGGAAAAGTGATGAGAAACGAAGAGAAGCAAGAGCGAAACGACGGGGCGGGATAAGAAGGAGGAAGGAAAGAGAAAAATCGCCCGCGCTTTTCTCTCCCGCGTGGAAAGCAGGCTGAACGAAAGCAGGCTGCGTAGACGGAGCGAAGCGTGCCAGTGAAAAGTGATTTGTATCACGGACACGCGACGCATTTCAACATTAGGCCTCGTGCCTGGATCCAAGTTTTTCGAGCATCCTCCGCTCAAATACCAAGGCATGGTTCAACGGCATCTCTCAATTCCGAGGAAATCGAAAGGGAAGTCGAAACGATCGAGATCGATGCCAAGTTACTGTTGGCATCGATCGCCAGTTGACACGCTCGATGGAACGATGCTGATGGACTCGAGCCTCGAGTGAATGGAACCGATCCACGCGACTGCCTCACTTCGGATAAATTTCACATTTCACGTTCCGTTTTGCTCCCTTTCCTTTCCGCGCGTTTCTTCGTCACTTGGACAGGTTTATCGGCGTTCGATCGTGGAAATTGAACGCGATATTACGATTCTTTAAATTGGACAGATATAATTTTAGAAAGGTTCGGTTTAGATAGAAAGGGACAGGTTGGATAACTTGTGGACTGCGACTGGTTTGTATTTGAACGTTCTTATTGACCGATTTAGAAGATATTGGCGATTATGCGTGAATGGCAACGTTTGGGCGGTTTTTAAGCGAAAAACCTGATTTTTGTTAGACAATTATTTATTTGAATGGTGATTAATTGAAATGGCGTTGATTCGAAGTAATTGGGTGCGAGATTAATAAATTTTATCGATTTTATTTTTGTTAATTTTTAATCGAGAACAACGTCCGGTAATAAATTTATCGAATATTATTTCATTAATAATGATAAACTTTCGTAATCACTATTATTATCATTATCATTGGCACGAAATTTTTCTCTCTCCAAGCTTTCCAAGCTTACCTCTTGTTTTTGTCAAAATAGGATTTCCCTCGAGCATACACCCGCTGAGTTAATTTACACTTTCTCCGCGGTGAATGAAGCCCGCTTCGAGCCCAGATTCATCATCCCGACGAGTTTTTGTCACCGTGAAAGTCCATTATGAAGTAACGTGTGTTTCCCCGGAGGGGAATCAGCTAATTGTTAAATCAATGGCAACGATCGCAAAGAAGAGAGGTATTGTCCTGCGAAATTTACGACTTCGTCGCGGGAGAAACACCGTGGAATTTACACCGACCGAAGAGACTGTTTAGAGCTATAATTAGCGTGGAAACAAGGAAAGAAAGAAAATTCAAAATGCGCAAAGCATTTCTTCGATTCAACCATTCCACGTTATCTTGAATTAAATAACTTTCGTAGTACGAGAGATTATAAATAAGCAATTAAAACCCCACTCGTTGGACTCCAACGAAAATTTCTCAAGTTTGCGGAAATTATTCATTTCTCGAAGAGCAATGTGATCATTAAATCCTTCCCCTGCCATTCGTAAGACTCGTAAAAACAAGCGACAGAACGTTATTCTCGTTGGTTGACAGCTGTATCATCGAAGAATGCATCATTTTTTCGTCACGATGCATTCAATGAATGCCTCTCCACCGATTTCCTCCGCCTGATTAACTCGATTTTTCGATTGTAAAAGTAAGCGTGGAACGTGCCTCGTTCAATATCCAATATCCTTCTTCAAGATGCACAGAGAGGAGGAATTATATATATTATATCCACGAGAGATTATTAACCATGGCGCTTAATATAATAATGCGAAATTACGAGACCGTCCAGCCTCGTTGCTCGAAGGAACAACACTGTGCTACATCGTTGACGACCAACCACCTAGGACTCCCGTTTTACCAGCCATTGTGTATATCCGCGTAAGAAATACTTGTTACGCAGTTTCGAGATCGATCGGTAAACATTCACCGGTCAGAATCCAGTTCCAGAGAGTCCTGCTTCTATTCATTCCCGTGATATACTACGATCACTGCTCGAATCCACGAAGGATCGCGCGAGTGGAAAAAGTG